CTTTTTGAGACAGAGTCTTGCTCCATCCCCCAGGCTGGAGTGCAGTGGTACAATCTCACCTCACTGCAACCTCTGCCTCCTGGGTTCAAGCGATTCTCATGCCTCAGCCTCCTGAGTAGCTGGGATTACAGGCATGTGCCACCACACCCGGCTAATTTTTTTGTGTTTTTAATAAAGGATTTCACCATGCTGACCAGACTGGTCTCGAACTCCTGGCCTCAAGTGATCCACTTGCCCTGGCCTCCCAGGGTGCTGAGATTACAGGCGTGAGCCACCATGCCGGGCCAAAAAGTCCAGTTTCTAAGACAGGAAGCTTGAAAATAATAGCGTGCACTTATTGAGCGCTTATTTCATGCCTGGCAACTTACATGCACCAGCTCAGCAAAAGCTTACAAGAGTTCTATGAGGTCAGCGCAGGCTTTAGCTGCGTTTGACAGGTGCATTTTCCACAAGTAAGTCGTAGATCCCAGGGAAGGGGCTGGTGGGAGTGGGCGCACCAGTAGTTAGGGGACAGTTGAACCCAGGCTGCCCCTCTAACCACTGGGCTTTACTGGCTCTCTGCACCCCCAGAGTCTTATCAGTGAACATCCGCGATTCCCAGCAGTGTCTGTGATTCCAAACCAGGGGTGAGAAATCCTGGACTCTGGGAGATTTCCTGAGGCCACAGAGAATTTGGTCGAGCACATACAGGGATTTTTCCAGTTTTAGATATGATTTAATTCAAAGTCTCTGCCCGCTCCCGGTCTGTTAGAGGTGCGGCGAGTGGGGGAGGCAGGAACCTCCCTTCGCTGGTCCATGAGTCCCCACCCGATCCCGCTGCCCCGGGTAATACCCTCCTTGGCAGGTCCTCTACTCCGCGCCCGCAGCTCCAGGCAGCTCGAGCGCGCGGGACTGGAGGGCGGGGGGCGAGGGGCTGGGAGCGGGGGGCGGGCAGAGGGAGGAACAATGGCCCCCTCCCCTCCCCTGACCGGCTGGAGGGTGGGGTCTCCCCGCCCCGCCTCCCCGCTCCTCCCCCGACAAGGCGATGAGGTAATCGCGCCGCTGAGAGGCACGCGCAGCCGGTGCCCAGCCGGTTGGTCCCTGCGCCCCTGCCCCGCCGGCCACCGCCCCCCAACACCGTCCCGGCCTCGGCAGCCCGGCCCCACCATGACCGAGCGGTGCAGCCTGTGGAGCGCCCTGTCGGCAGCCGCCTGCTGCTTCTACCGCGGCTCCTTCGTGCAGGTGCAGGTGAGGGGGCGGCTCGGCCCCCGCCATGCGCGCCGGGTTGGGACCCCGGCCGCTCCGCCCGGGGCCCTAGAGACAGCTGGGGAGCTGCAGTCCTGCGGCGCCCGCCCGGCAGGGTCGGGCCCGGCCGGGCCGGTCAGGGGAGGGGGCGGGGTCGCCCCAGCCTCACCTCTGGGCGCCCAGGCGCTCCGCGGGGTGAGGGTTCGGCGGTCACTCCTGGGACTCCGGGCTATGGTGGATGCCGGTCCGTTTCTGCCTTCTCTGCAGGAGGGAGAGAGCTGGGGCAGAGGGTACCGGGAGATGGGGTCCCCGGCACCCTGCCGGTCCTCCGCCTGGCACGCTGGCCCTTGCGGCTGACCTGGGCACCCTGGCTCCCCATTGTACCGGGGGCGCTGGGCTGGGATCTGAAGGCTGAGTGAGGAGCAGGAAATGCGGGTGATGCTTTGGGTGCCAGGGTTGGGGCCAGAGCACCCGCCACTCTCCCGCCCTCTAGGTGTGCTTGGACATGCCTGGGGCTCAGGTCTCTCCCAGCCCTGCTGGCCGGGCAGTGCAGGACGGCGCCGCGGCGGTGAGAGGGTTAAACGGAAGGGGGTGGAGGGGAGGACCCGGACCCCGCCTCTCTGCGGAGCATCCTTTGGGGATGGCTCTGCTTGGGGTTGGGACTCCGAGGTGAGCTGGAGGGGATGCTGGGCTCGGGCTGGCGGGAAGGGGTTAAGACCCTGTCCGGGGGTCTCCGCGCTCCTGCTCCCTGAGCCCCCTGGGAGATGCCAGGCGCGTTGGCTCTTCGCTCCCCCAGGCTCACACACGCTCGGGGAGCCCGCCTGAAGGACGGCCCCGCCGGCTGCGGAGCGGAGCATCCCCGCACCGGCCAATCAGGCGCGCGCAGGCCTGGAGGCGGTGAGATCATCTCTGGCCAATAGCAGAGCGCCGAGCGCAGGGATGCTGCATTCGCACTCCAGCACCCCCAACTCTAGGGAGCTGGGGGCCCCCAGGTCGATGTGAGATCAAGGCACAGGGACCCTAGGATTCCTCACCCTCAGGTGTGTGGGAGGACCAAGTTGGTCCCCCCAGACTCTCCGTGACCAGTGATTAAGCTGGAAAAGGGGAGCCCAGTCTCCCAGCCCTTTAACGGATGAGTCTTCTCAGGCCCAGAGAGGGGAAGTGACTGGCTCAAGGTCACACAGTGGCAGCCTTGGGGCGGGTTCTTCAACATCCAGCCTCCTCCCTCCTTTGCCCGCGACCCTCGGGCTCCAGCTGAAACTGGGGGAAGGTCTCAATTGCATGCCCTTTGTCAAGGAGGACGCCAGAAGGCTGAGATCTTGGGTCCCTTTTTCCCTGTGACGCCCACTCTTCCCTTCCCAGGGTTTGATGTGATATAAGGAAAGAGGACTAGGCTGGTGTGAGCACCACAGAGTGAGAGGGAGAGAGAACAGGGACCCCCCGAAGTAGGGGACCCCTTGGAGAAGTGTAGGTGTCTGAGAAGGCCGGGATCCTAGCTCAGCCCTGGGCCTCTCTGCCCTTCGGGAGTGTCGGTTTCTACCACGGCTGGAGGATGTGCAGAATTCCCATCCCCAGGCCTTTCTCCTGAGCACCTGTGCAAACCACCCACTCCCACCATCTGTCCCCAGAGTCCTGCAGGTTCCTCAAGGTCCAAATTTTCATGGGTCCACCGCCAAGCTGCTCCTGCCCCAGCCTTGCCCACTCAGCGTGTCCCATCATCCTTCTAGGATCTGGGCCGGGAGTCCTCTCTGACCCCTCCGCCCTGCTCCCCCGCATGAATCAATGGCCATCTAAACTCCCCTTCCCCCACTCCTTCTCCCCACACCTTATCTGCCCTGCCACTGCCTAGAAAACCCTAGACTGCTCTCCCCAAGTGGTCTAAACCTGCTCCAACACTTCCAAACCCTTCCATGGCTGTGCTGTGGCCTCCGGCTAATCCCCAGCTCGCTAAGACACCTGCCACACCTGCCCCTGCCCCCACAGCCCCCTGGAAGCTTCTCATTCATCTCCCCTCCCTCCCCTTGGCTCTGCCCATAGGGCCCTGACTTTGCTGCTCTCTGTCCAGAAGCTCTTCCCTGCCCACCTGTCCACCTGCCCTCTCCACCCTGGTGCTTTTGCTTGGCTCACCCAGTCCTTCTTCAGACCTCAGCAGAAATGTCACCTTTTCTGGGAAGTGATCCCTGACTCTGCCCCCTGACTAGTTTGGTGGTGCACCACCTCTGTCTGTGCATCTCGGGACATTCGGGAAACCTGGAATTGATTGTCAGTGTTTGCAAGGCTTCCCCCAGGGCGGGGGCCACCTTGGGTCCTCACCCCTGGGACAGGACCAGGATAAGGACTTAGTCAATGTTGAATGAAGTCAGAGATTCTAGATATCTCTGACACTGGGAATCATGGTGTCTTGGGAGCAATGCAGACTGGGGTAAACCCAGGCAGTATGGGAGCAGAGGGATAAGGGATGTAGTCATAGAATTAGGAGGCAAAATCTGGATGGTCTGAGGAGGCAGAGAGCGAACCGGAGGACCCTTGGACTCTGGGGAGCGAGGGACCCCAGGGAGAGACTCACCTGGGATGAAGGCCCTTTACTGCCCTCCCTCATTGATCTTGCCTTCTGGCCAGTGCTGGGGTCTGTCTGTCTTGGAGTAGCCATCTTTGGGGCCTGGAGTTGGGGGAAGGAGAGGAAGAACCGTCCCATGTCCTTGCAGTGATGAGGATGTCTGTGTGCTAGTAGTACTCTGGAGTGCTGTCTCTTTTCATCTTCACAGTGAGGTGAGGCAGGTTCTGTCACTGTACCCATTTTAATGAGGAAGAAATTGAGGCCCAGAGAGCTCACATGGCACAGCCAGGATTGGACTGGGCTGTGGTGGGCGTACACCTGGCATTAGGGGCTTCCCTTCCTCTGCCCTTAGGGCCCCTGAGATCCATCAGCCTCCAACTTCAGGCCACAGTGATCAAGAAACCAGGAGGTTCTGGGCCAGGTGGGAGGGTGGAGTACTGGGCATTATCTCCTTCGGGGGCCTTGGGCTTCCCTGCTGGGCCATGGCCTCCTCATCTGGTGAGGATTGCTGGGGATTTCAAGGGAGAAATGGCTTTGGAAATTGTAAGGGGAAATGCAGATGTCTGTGTGGGATCCCCGTGTCCCTGTTTATAGTCTCTTCCCCACCCTTGCATTGTACAATGCGCCATCCCAGAATGTATCCTTGTCCAACCAGCTCTGTGGTTTTTGCTCATAGCTTTTCCTGCAGTTACCTGCTGCCCTACCTCCAAGATTCACCTGTAGAAATCCCCCTCCAACACTTCAAGATCAGTTTGGTGCCATTGGTGCATAATGAGTGTTTTCTTACTGCCCTGTCCTCCAGGAAGGCTTCCCAGACGCCTCTGCCTTGCCCAGGCTTAATCCTGCTTGTAGAAGCCACCTGGCTCTTTGCCGCTGTCCAGCGCTATGGTGCTGACCGCCCTCTACTCAGAGGCTCCCATTGCTTTTGCCTCTCCTCAGCCTAGGCACTGCCTTGAGGGCCAGGCTTGGTTTATGTGTCACCGCATCCACCTCTGCCATATAGCACAGGGCCTGGAATGCAGTTGGCATTGTTTGGTTGAAGGAATTGAGATTTCTTTACTCTTCCTGGGACCCAAGGTAAAGGACCTTTCTGGCACCTGTGCCTTAGTGTTCCCAGAGTCCCAGGATAGGAGGAGTTCATCCATGGTAGAATGAAGCTGGGAGGGAAGGAAGAAGGGGGCTTTAAGTTGGATGCCAACTCTTGCTGTCTCCTACTCAGTTCTCCAAGGAGAAGTACATCCTGGACTCATCGCCAGAGAAACTCCACAAGGAATTGGAGGAGGAGCTCAAACTCAGTAGCACGGATCTCCGCAGCCATGCCTGGTACCATGGCCGCATCCCCCGAGAGGTGAGCAGACCCCCAGCTGGAACTTCAACCCCGGACCCTCCCACCCACTGCCTTGGGCAGCCCCAGCCCTGGTTGCAGCCACCTGGGATGCTCTGTCCTATTGCTTGATGGGTTCAATCGGAATGGACTGGGATGAGGTCTAGCTCTGCCCTTTACTGACTGTGACCTTGAAGAAGTTGCTTCACCTCTCGAGCCTCAGTATCTACTGCAAAGGGTTCTTGTGAAAATTAAATGAAATAATGCAGGTAAAATGTTTAACATGATGCTTGACACCATGAATGTTGGCCTTTGTTCTTATTATTGTTACTGTTATTGTCTGGTCTGTATATCTGCCTTTTGTATGCTTGCTTAGTGAGTACCAATCTTTGGGCTACTTAGTTTTGGCAAAGTTGAGTTTCTTGGCTGAGGTGACTTTATAAGCCACAGACTTAAGTTTATAGATCACTTGTTCCTTCTTTCATTCATGCTATAATCTTTGTCAAACACCAACTTTGCCAGGACCTGTGCTAAGCACCAAGGCTGCAGAGGTAGAAGAGGTGGTGGCTTCTTTTGATGGCTAATGGCCCAGGGTGGGGGGCTGACAGTCAGAGCCTAGTGGAAGAAGTGCAAGAATAGAGTGCCTGGTATGAATATGGGCAAGTCCTGGGGAGGGGACACTGAGGATGGAGGCTTTTGTGAGATAGATAGGAGTTCACCAGGTGGGGCCAGGTGTGATGGCTCACGCCTGTAATCTCAGCACTTTAGGAGGCTGAGGTGGGCAGATCACCTGAGGTCAGGAGTTTGAGACCAGCCTGGCCCACATGGTGAAACCTTGTCTCTACTAAAAAAATGAAAATTAGCCAGGTGTGGTGGCACGCACCTGTAAGCCAGCTACTCAGGAGGCTGAGGCAGGAGAATCACTTGAACCTGGGAGGCGGAGGTTGCAGTGAGTGGAGATTGTGCCACCACACTGCAGCGTGGGTGACAGAGTGAGACTCTATCTCAATAACAATAATAAGGCCGGGTGTGGTGGCTCACACCTGTAATCCCAGCACTTTGGGAGGCCAAGGCGGGTGGATCACAAGGTCAGGAGATTGAGACCATCCTGGCTAACACAGTGAAACCCCATCTCTACTAAAAATACAAAAAATTAGCCGGGCGTGGTGGTGGACACCTGTAGTCCCAGCTACTCGGGAGGCTGAGGCAGGATAATGGCATGGACCCGGGAGGCGGAGCTTGCAGTGAGCCAAGATTGTGCCACTGCACTCCAGCCTGGGCAACACAGTGAGACTCCATCTCAAAAAATAATAATAATAATAAATAAAAATAAATAAATAATAAATAAACATCTGAAGTTCATCAGATGGACAAGGCAGGAACGGTGTTCCAGGACAAAAAAAGCAGCTTGAGGGTGCAAGGGCCAGAGGCATGCCAGAGCACTGAGAGGTTGGAAGAATGAGGATTAGGAATTCACTCTGCCCCACCGGAACCCTGAGAAGGGATGGGTCTGAGACCTGGGTCTCAGATCAGCCATTCTCACTCCTCCAGACCCGGGGCCTCTGTGCCTCCCATTCCAAGGTGTTAGGTCCTCCCATTCCTGAGCCTCTGTGCTGCAGACCCAGGGCCTCTGCCTGAGGTGCCCCCTCTGAACCTGGGTCATTGCATCCCCGCTCTCAGATGTCAGATGTCTCTGTTCACTGGGTCCTCTATACCCTGGATCTGGGCTTGCTGTCCCCCCTAATCCTGAGTTGCTCTGTCCCCCAGATCCTGGGTCTGACCCTCTTCTGGCCCTGTCCTACTCCAGCCTAACCATGCCTTCTGCAGGTCTCAGAGACCTTGGTACAACGCAATGGCGACTTCCTCATCCGGGACTCGCTCACCAGCCTGGGCGACTATGTGCTCACGTGCCGCTGGCGCAACCAGGCCTTGCACTTCAAGATCAACAAGGTGGTGGTGAAGGCAGGCGAGAGCTACACACACATCCAGTACCTGTTTGAGCAGGAGAGCTTCGACCATGTGCCCGCCCTCGTGCGCTATCATGTGGGCAGCCGCAAGGCTGTGTCAGAGCAGAGTGGTGCCATCATCTACTGCCCGGTGAACCGCACCTTCCCACTGCGCTACCTCGAGGCCAGCTATGGCCTGGGACAGGGGAGTAGCAAGCCCGCCAGCCCCGTCAGCCCCTCAGGCCCCAAGGGCAGCCACATGAAGCGGCGCAGCGTCACCATGACCGACGGACTCACTGCGGACAAGGTCACCCGCAGCGATGGCTGCCCCACCAGGTCAGCCAGGGCCCCATTTGTCAAATGGGGATGTGGGTAATGAGAGGGCTAGTGAGAAAGGGAAGGGCCAGGCACACTGAAATGGGATGAAATTCCCCTCCTGGAGCCTCTGTGTGCAGGGAGGAATGGGAGGAAGGTTGGGCCATACTGTGTGGATGTACAGAACGAAGGACTTGCAGGGAGTCAGACCCAAGTGGCAGTCCCAGCTCTGCCATTTGCTGGCCATGTGCCCTTGACCCTGTCACCTCTCCTATATTATCTCCATGTTCCTACCTATAAAGGCTTTCATTCAAGCAGCCCTCCCTATGCCAGGGGAGCCCTGAGTCCTGAACCAGAGAGGGGCCTGGTCCCTGCCACCTGATGCCACCCCTCCATCCTACGCAGCTAGGCCAAGGTGGGCATCCGAGCAGAGGGCTTTACAGCATGGAAATCACTGCACAGGGAATGGGATGTTCTCAGCAAATTTTAATTACACCTGGTTGTCTCTGGGGCTAAAACCAGGCCCTGGATGCCAGGAAAAGCCACAGCAGCTGCTGGTTCCTGAGATCCTACCAAGTGTTAAGTGCTGTACGTGGCCAATCTCATCAATGCCCACTTCCTCCTGGGAGGTGGGTCCTGCCCATACACCCAATTTGTAGATGAGGACATAGGCTTAAAGGGGGGAAGCTGCTTGCTAGAGAGTGGGTAGGATCAAGATTCGAACCCAGGTCTGTAGACTCTGAAGTCTGTGCCCCAAGTTTCTGTAGCTTCCCTGGCTATTTGCAGAGATCGGCTGTCCTGTGCCACCGGCACTTGGATAGGCCCTTGAGGCCCCATCTCCCGGGGGCTGGGTTGGGTGCTCCCAGTCAAGGAATTGATGAATGGATACCCTGTGGGCAGCAGCCACTTGGCCTGTGGTTTGGAGCCAGTAAACATAATGGTGCCAGGATCCACAGACCATGTGTGCCTGAGGCATCCTGAGCATAGCTGGGAGCAGTGAGGAGAGGTCAGAATGGTGGGCCTACTTCCTAAGGCTCCCCACTCTTCCTGCTAGCCCCTCTCCCCGGACCGTTCTCCAGGTCGGAGGAAAGATTCTGCTTATCAAGCTAAGGGCACTAGTGAGGAGCCGTGTCTGCCCAGAGAATGGTTGTAGTCGACTCATTTGCACAAAGGCACTCGTGGGGCGTTGAATTCTGGCCTGTACCTCCTTTCCCATCCCCTCCTCCTTGGGAAAGGAGAGAAACAGAGGAGCGTGAGAAGTGTTGGCTCAGCTGGGTGCCCCCAAGCGTCATCCTCAGGCTGCTCTAGGCTTCGTGGGAGGGGAAGCTGGGTAGGAATGGAGGAGAGCAGGGTCATGAGGAGGATACTGGGCTGATGGCCAAGCACAGTGGCTCGTGCCTGTAATCCCAGCACTTTGGGAGGATGAGGTGGGCGGATCACCTGAGGTCAGAAGTTCAAGACAAGCCTGGCCAACATGGTGAAACTCCATCTCTACTAAAAATACAAAAAATTAGCCAGGCTTGGTGGCGGGCACCTGTAATCCCAGCTACTTGGAGGCTGAAGCAGGAGAATGTCTTGAATCCGGGAGGTGGGTTCAGCAGTTGCAGTGAGCTGAAATCACGCCACGGCACTCCAGCCCGGGCGACAGAGTGAGACTCCATCTCCAAAAAAAAAGGGAAGAAACCAGGCGTGCTCGCCACCAGGGTTCCTAGCTCTGCTCCTGACTCCCTATGTCCCCTCCCTCCTCTGGGCTTCAGGTTTTTTTGTACCTATCAGTCGGGAGGTTGGATTTGATAATCTCCAAGCCTTCTCTGCCTCTGAAGTTCAAGGTGAAGAGGTGGGGGGGTCCCAGAGGCAGGCTGAGGCCCCTGACTTCTGGGCTACCTGCCCATGATGGTATCTGCTCCACAGTACGTCGCTGCCCCGCCCTCGGGACTCCATCCGCAGCTGTGCCCTCAGCATGGACCAGATCCCGGACCTGCACTCACCCATGTCGCCCATCTCCGAGAGCCCTAGCTCTCCTGCCTACAGCACTGGTATGGCCAGCAGAGGGGTGGAGCAGGTGGAGGGAATCTGTTGTTGAAGACTTCTATAACCTATGTGTGGTTATGTATGTTTCCACCTCTTTTCTGAGGCGAGACCTTTACTAAGAGCAATAATTGACACTGGAAACCTGCTAGCAGAACTGTTGATATCAACATATAAGATGTATCCATGGATTGTTTATTTAGCAACTATTTATTTATTTATTTATTTATTTATTTTCGAGGCAGTTTTGCTCCTGTTGCCCAGGCTGGAGTGCAGTGGCGGGATCTTGGCTCACTGCAACCTCCGTCTCCTGGGTTCAAGTGATTCTCCTGCCTCAGTCTCCCGACTAGCTGGGATTACAGGTGTCCGCCACCACACCTGGCTAATTTTTGTATTTTTAGTAGAGACGGTGTTTTGCCATGTTGGCCAGAGTGGTCTCGAACTCCTGACCTCAGGTGATCCACCTGCCTCGGCTTCCCACAGTGCTGGGATTAGAGGCGTGTGCCACCACGCCCAGCTAATTTTTGTGTTTTTAGTAGAAACAGGGTTTCACCATGTTGGCCAGGCTGGTCTCGAACTCCTGACCTCAGGTGATCTGCCCACCTCGGCCTCCCAAAATTCTGGGATTACAGTCATGAGCCACTACGCCCGGCCTCTATTTTTCTTAATAGACTTTATTTTTTAGAGCAGTTTTAGGTTCACAGCAAAATTAAGTGGAAAGTATAGAACACTGTGCTTTTTTTTTTTTTTTTGAGACAGAGTCTCGCTCTGTCGCCCAGGCTGGAGTGCAGTGGCCGGATCTCGGCTCACTGCAAGCTCTGCCTCCTGGGTTTATGCCATTCTCCTGCCTCAGCCTCCCGAGTAGCTGGGACTACAGGCGCCCGCCACCTCGCCCGGTTAGTGTTTTGTATTTTTTAGTAGAGACGGGGTTTCACTGTGTTAGCCAAGATGGTCTCGATCTCCTGACCTCATGATCTGCCGGTCTCAGCCTCCCAAAGTGCTGGGATTACAGGCTTGAGCCACCGCGCCCGGCCTACACTGTGCTTTCTTATAAATACGAAGAAAGTTTCTATGTTAGAAACATTCCAATAGGTCATTTCTGGAAAAAAATGAAAAGGATGTTTTCAACAGGCCATATTGTCCACGTGGCAGGCCAAGTGTCGTGAGAGGGGGCTGTCTCAGGAGGAACTTTTGCCTAGGGTGGCATTCCATTGAAGTCTTGCTGTCTTTATCAGTTGTCACAAATCCTTCCCTAAACACAGAGCCACCAACTTTGTCATAACTACAAACTTGATTTCAAAGCAATACCCCTGAGTATAAAACCTAAAATTCCTTGCCAGAATGACTTATTGGACAATTTCTAAGCAATCTGTTATAGTAAAGCAGCCCAGATGTCAAGACTTAAATCCCGGCTGTACTGCTTGCTGGCTCGGTGACCTTGGGCAGGTCAGTGCACCTCTCTGAGCTTCACTTTTCTCATCTGTAGAATGAGGATTATAAAAGTACTTACTTCATAGGACATTGAAAGGGTTAAATAGACTGAGGTACAAAGAAGGGTCTTGCAGGCACTAAGAGCTCAGTAAATATCGTCTTTGAGGTTTGATGATGGTTTTACCGTGGTTATGTCTCCAGCATGTTGCCAGCTCCTGGGCACACAATGTATAGCAACAAATCATTATTGCTAATTCAGGCCGGGCGCGGTGGCACACATCTGTAATCCCAGCTACTCTGGAGGCTGAGGCACAAGAACTGCTTGAACCTGGGAGGCGGGGGTTGCAATGAGCTGAGATTGTGCTATTGCACTCCAGCCTAGGCAACAGAGCGAGACTCTGACTCAAAAAAAAAAAAAAAAAAAAATTAGCTGGGCGTTGTGGTACATGACTGTAATCCCAGCTATTCGGGAGGCTGAGGGTCAAGAATTGAACTGCTTAAACCCAGGAGGTGGAGGTTGCAGTGAGCCTAGATGGCGCCACTGCACTTCAGCCTGGGTGACAGAACGAGACACTGACTCAAAAAAAAAAAAAAAAAGGAAATAATTATTGCTAACTCGTTGAGAAACAATCGCGTGTGGCACAAGAAACTCCAGCAGATACTCAGCTTCCCTGGATCACTGAAGCTCCTCCAAGCAGTGGGTCCCCAAGGCTGCAGCAGCCTCAGGGTGGGGCCATGCAAACTCATATAGGTCCTGGTGATTTCAGAGCATCACCTGGGCTGGTCAGCTTGCCAGAGTCAGCTGGCCCTGGTCTCTGGTGATGCAGGGAAGTGGGGACATCACCTCTGTACTCCCTACAAGGAGTGAGGGAGCCTGCTCTTTGGGAAGGGGTGCGGGAATCTCACTTTGGTGGGGAGCTGCTATAAGGGGACCTCTCTCTCTTTCTGCAGTAACCCGTGTCCATGCCGCCCCTGCAGCCCCTTCTGCCACACCACTGCCTGCCTCCCCTGTCACCCGCCGTTCCAGTGAGCCCCAGCTGTGTCCCGGAAGTGCCCCAAAGACCCATGGGGAGTCAGACAAGGGCCCCCACACCAGCCCCTCCCACACCCTCTGCAAGACCTCCCCGTCACCATCACTCAGCAGCTACAGTGACCCGGACTCTGGCCACTACTGCCAGCTCCAGCCTCCCGTGCGTGGCAGCCGAGAGTGGGCAGCAGCTGAGGCCTCCAGCCGGCAGGCCAGGAGCTATGGGGAGAAGCTAAAGGAACTGTCAGAAAATGGGGCCCCCGAGGAGGACTGGGGCAAGACCTTCACCGTCCCCATCGTGGAAGTCACTTCTTCCTTCAACCCGGCCACCTTCCAGTCACTACTGATCCCCAGGGATAACCGACCGCTGGAGGTGGGCCTTCTGCGCAAGGTCAAGGAGCTGCTGGCAGAGGTGGATGCCCGGACACTGGCCCGGCATGTCACCAAGGTGGACTGCCTGGTAGGTGTTGGCTGTGCACTGGGGTAGAGGGAGCATCTCCGTTCTATGGGGCAGGGCAATGAGAAACTGGCTTCCAGATTCCCCAAGTACAACAAGTGGGCCTGGATTCTAGCTCCATGGCTGTCCTTTGCCTGCTCTGTGACTCTGGGCTGGTCATTTAGCCTCACTGGGCCTCCAGTTTCTCCTTTTAAAAAGCACATAAGGCCGGGGGTGGTTGCTCATGCCTGAATCCCAGCACTTCAGGAGGCTGAGGCGGGCGGATCACCTGAGGTGAGGAGTTCAAGACCAGCCAGGCCAACATGGGAAACCCCATCTCTACTAAAAATACAAAAATTAGCTAGGTGTCGTGGTGGGCACCTGTAATCCCAGCTACTCGGAAGGCTGAGGCAGGAGAATCACTTGAACCTGGGAGATAGAGGTTGCAGTGAGCCGAGATCGCACCAGTGCACTCCAGCCTGGGCAACAGAATGACACTATTCAAAAAACACACACACACACACACACACACACACACGTGTGATATCCTTGCTTCCTCCAGATGTCAGTTTGGCTACAACTGGGCAGACCTGAAACCCAGTGGTCTCTGGCTCCCTGAGGCACTTGGGGACACTTCTGTAGTGTGCCGTAGAGCCCCTTGAGGGTTAGCCAGCTTGTCCTGGGACTAGAAAAGGCCTGACTCTCCGCCCCCACCCCCTCTAGTGGACAAATAAGCAGAAATCATTACCTCCTCGGCCCATAAGTTGTCAATGCCCGGGCCTTAGCTGTGTTGAATCATTGAACATCTGAAGACCCCAGTTCTCTCTGTGCCTCAGTTTCTCCTTTCTTGGGAGAAATTGATCATCGGGTTATACTGGTCTCAGAGCACGGGAAGCAAGAAAAGAGTCAAGGCAGAGATGTTGCTCCATGAACAGTCCAGGGTGGCAGGGAGGACCCAGGTTCTAGGCCCAGTGTGTGACCTTGGGCAAGCCCATTCCCTGCCCGGGCTTCAGGGTTTCCCTCTGCAATGGACAAGTATCCGGCTCTTAACCTTAACTGAATATTTATTTATTTATTTATTTTATTTTTATTTTTTGAGATGGAGTCTCATTCTGTCACCCAGGCTGGAAGTGCAGTGGCGTGATCTCGGCTCACTGCAACCTCTGCCTCCTGGGTTCAAGCGATTCTCCTGCCCCAGCCTCCCGAGTAGCTGGACTACAGGCACACGCCACTGTACCCGGCTAATTTTTGAATTTTTGGTAGAGATGGGGTTTCGCCATGTTGGCCAGGCTGGTCACGAACTCCTGATCTCAGGCGATCTGCCCACGTCAGCCTCCCAAAGTGCTGGGATTACAGGCGTGAGCCACCCCACCCGGCCGACCTTAACTGAATATTTAATATGCCAGGCACCTCTGGGCATTTTCCTATTAATTCTCACTTCACAGATGGGGAAACTGAGGCTCGTCGAGAAAGGCAGAGTCACTTGCTCCATATCAGAGGGTTAGCGGTGGAGCTGGAATTCAAACTCCGCCTTCCAACCAGGCTACCCACTTAGATAAAGCTCTCTGACTCCCAGATGGCTGGGGCCAGCCCTGACAGGATATTAATCAGCCCTCTGGGCGTCTTTGCAGGTTGCTAGGATACTGGGCGTTACCAAGGAGATGCAGACCCTAATGGGAGTCCGCTGGGGCATGGAACTGCTCACCCTCCCCCATGGCAGGCAACTACGCCTAGACCTGCTGGAAAGGTGAGACAGCGCCGGCACCCGGGGACTCTCGGGGAACCCCCGGCTACCGCCCTCCCAGCTGGACAGGGCGGGTTGGCCAATCACAGCCTCAGCTCGGCTCCCAGGGCTCTGGCCACGCCTCCCATCCCATTGACCAATCGCAACCCCTGATAACCCGCTCTAAGCAAGCTGATTTCCCGAAGACTGAATCCTGTATCTCCGCATTCGCCTTCCTTTCGCATCCCCTTGACCAGTCATCCCCTTGACCAGTCATCCCCTTGACCATCAGCCTGGCCTCGCCTATCAGCTCGGGGTCCTCCTTGTTCATTCTTAAAACTGCTCTGCGTGGCCGGGCGCGGTGGCTTAAGCCTGTAATCCCAGCATTTTGGGAGGCCGAGGCGGGCGGATCACTTGAGGTCAGGAGTTCGAGACCAGCCTGGCCAACATGGCGAAACCCTGTCTCTACTAAAAATTAACAGAGCGTGGTGGCGCGCGTCTGTAATCCCAGCTACTCTTGAGGCTGAGGCAGGAGAATCGTTTAAGCCCAGGAAGCGGAGGTTGCAGTTAGCCGGGATCGAGCCATTGCACTCCAGACTGGGCGACGAGCGAGACTCCGTCTCAAAAAACAAACAAACAAAAACAACCAAACTGCTCTGCGTGACGCATCTCCCTGTTCACCCATAGCTCTGGCCCCGCCCCTGACTTATGCTGACCAATCAGAAGCCTGGGGACTTGTTTTCCACGCTCTGGCCCCGCCCCCTTATCCCATTGACCGTTACAACCTCTCACGTTGGCTCCGCCCTCCGCCCCTCCCGGCCCAACCACAGGCAGCGCCCCAGGCCTGCACCCCTCACCCCTGTCCCTGAGCCCGCTGCCTCTTACCCCTACGCTCTGACAGGTTCCACACCATGTCCATCATGCTGGCCGTGGACATCCTGGGCTGCACTGGCTCTGCGGAGGAGCGGGCAGCACTGCTGCACAAGACCATTCAGCTGGCGGCAGAGCTGCGGGGGACTATGGGCAACATGTTCAGCTTCGCGGCGGTCATGGGTGCCCTAGACATGGCCCAGGTACTGAGAGCCGCGCACAGCAGGCATCCGGTAGACTGTCTGGAAGAGCCCTGGGTTGCCTTTGGGATGGCTGTGTATGGAGTCAGGAGGAGCTTTGGAGTTTCTAGGCACCATTGGTGAGAGTACCCAGGAGAACTGAGTTCTGCAAGTGCCGACCCACAGCAAGTTCTTCCCCTTCTCTGGGCCTCAGTTTCCTCGCTTGTAAAATAAAACGAATGAGGAGCATTATATGAGTTTAAAGAATAAGAATAGGCCGGGCGCTGTGGCTCATGCCTATAATCCCAGCACTTTGGGAGGCTGAGGCGGGCGGATCACGAGGTCAGGAGTTCAAGACCAGTCTGGCCAATATGGTGAAACCCCGTTTCTACTAAAAAGTGCAAAAAATTAGCGCGCCTGTAATCCCAGCTGCTCAGGAGGCTGAGGTAGGGGAATCGCTTGAACCAGGGAGGCGGAGGTTTCAGTGAGCCGAGATCACACTTCTGCACTCCACCGTGGGCAACAGAGTGAGACTCTGTCTCAAAAAAAAAAAAAAAAAGAATAAGAATAAAGTGGTAACCATTTAGTGAGTATTTCCTATAGGCTAGGTAGTATACTAAGTACTTAACCAGCACTGATTCCTCAGAACCATCTCATGAAGTAGGTGCCTTCAGCGTCCACATTTTACAAATGGAGTGTTTGAGACAGAGTAGTCCTTGCCTAAGGTCACACGGTCAGAGGCTGAAAGAATTAGGACTTGAACCAAGTCTAGCTGACTTCAGAGCTGAGCCTGCCTCTCCTTTGCCTAATAAATAAGAACAACGGCCAGGCGCGGTGGCTTATGCCCGTAATTCCAGCATTTTGGGAGGCTGAGGAGGGAGGACAGATCACCTGAGGTCAGGAGTTCGAGACCAGTCTGAGCAACATGGTGACACCTGTCTCTACTAAAAATACAGAAAAATTAGCCGGATGTGGTGGTGCATGTCTGTAGTCTCAGCTACTCAGGAGGCTGAGGCAGGAGAATCGCGTGAACCCAGGAGGTGGAGGTTGCAGTGAGCCGAGATTGCGCCACTGCACTCCAGCCTGGGTGACAGAACGAGACTCCATCTCAATAAATAAATAAATAAATAAATAAATAAGAACAACTAGGTCCCAGAGGCAGTGTCCTGGGTTCAACTCCCAGCTCTGTCACTTTTTTTTAGAATAACCTTGGGCAAGTCATTCCCCTGTCTTGAGTCTTAGTTCCCTAATCTGTAAAATGGGTTTTGTGAGAGCTTCATGGTAGACATGAAAAGCAGTCATCACTGTCCCTAGTACACGAAGGATGGCCATAATAATAATACTGATCCCACATCTGGGTGTCCACTCAGCAGGGCAGCAGGGTGGCCGCTGCAGGCCCTCTGCCTGGCAGGTCTCTCACAGTTTGGCCTCCCCAGATTTCTCGACTGGAGCAGACATGGGTGGCCCTGCGGCAGCGACACACGGAGGGTGCCATCCTGTACGAGAAGAAGCTCAAGCCTTTTCTCAAGAGCCTCAACGAGGGCAAAGGTACTTTCTTGTTGTGTGACCTTGGACAGGTTGCAGCCCTCCCTGGGGTCCCAGCATGGACAGGGATGAGAGCCTGGCTGAGCTCTGTGCAAGCTACTTTCCCTGAGCTCACTGTCCCTGCTGGCAGCTGTGTCAGCCTTGTTCACATCCAGGCTCAGCCCTTGGGGCTGGGCCAGGGCTGCTGTGGGTTCAGTTGGGGGAATCCGAAAGGAAGGGTTTGTCCCAGGAGTCAGAAGCCCTTGAGGCTCTCCGGGACCTCAGCCAGGCCGGTTCCCTCCTGCACCTCGGCTTCCGGGACTGCAGTGGATGGTGGGCACTACAGGATCTCTAAGCGCCTGCTGCCTTTCTCCCTGCAGAAGGCCCGCCGCTGAGCAACACCACGTTTCCTCATGTGCTGCCCCTCATCACCCTGCTGGAGTGTGACTCGGCCCCACCCGAGGGCCCTGAGCCCTGGGGCAGCACGGAGCATGGCGTGGAGGTGGTGCTGGCCCACCTGGAGGCTGCCCGGACAGTGGCACACCACGGAGGCCTGTACAACACCAATGCTGAGGTCAAGCTGCAGGGTGAGTGGCGGGTGGCATCTTCGGGGGCTTGCAGGCCTGGGCCTCCCTCCACCTGCCTCACTGTTTCCCTTTCCTCCAAGGCATCCATTCACATTTCTGCACTCCTCTGTCCTGCCCTGTCTCCCTGACCCCTTCCTCTCATGTCTTTTCTTTTCTTTTCTTTTCTTTTTTTTTTTTTGAGACGTAGTCTCGCTCTGTCACCCGGGCTGGAGTGCAGTGGCCGGATCTCAGCTCACTGCAAGCTCCGCCTCCCGGGTTCACGCCATTCTCCTGCCTCAGCCTCCCAAGTAGCTGGGACTACAGGTGCCTGCCACCTCGCCCGGCTAGTTTTTTTGTATTTTTTAGTAGAGACGGGGTTTCACCATGTTAGCCAGGATGGTCTCGATCTCCTGACCTCGTGATCCGCCCGTCTTGGCCTCCCAAAGTGCTGGGATTACAGGCGTGAGCCACCGCACCTGGCCTCTTTTCTTTTCTTTTCTTTTTGAGATGGAGTATTACACTGTCGCCCACGCTGGAGTGCAGTGGCACAATCTCAGCTCACTGCAACCTCCGCCTTCCAGGTTCAAGGGAATCTCCTGCCTCAGCCTCCCGAGTAGCTGCGATTGCAGGCGTGTGCCACCATACCTGGCTAATTTTTTGTACTTTTAGTAGAGGCGGGGTTCCACCATGTTGGGCAGGCTGGTCTTGAACTCCCGACCTCAGGTGATCCGCCTGCCTCAGCCTCCCAAAGTGCTGGGATTACAGGTGTGAGCCACCGCGCCTGGCCTAAAATTTATGTGTGTTTCTTAGGAAATAATTTGGAACTTAACAGAAAAATATGAAAAAAGAAAAAAATCACCAAAAATCTGCAAACATATTTAACATTAGTATTTTATGGTCTAGTCATTTTTAAATTATACGCTGCAAATAACAGGACAAAGATGCTAAACTATAGGGTCATGTTGATTCACAAACCTTGTTGGATCCCTGGCGGAGTTGAGGGGAGGTCCCTAACAGGGGGGCCCTGAAGAATGCCAGGGCTCTGGACAGGAACCCCAGCCTCTGGCCTGACCCTATGTCCCAACACTGCAGGGTTCCAGGCCCGGCCGGAGCTCCTGGAGGTATTCAGCACGGAGTTCCAGATGCGCCTCCTCTGGGGCAGTCAGGGTGCCAGCAGCAGTCAGGCCCGGCGCTATGAGAAGTTCGACAAGGTCCTCACTGCCCTGTCCCACAAGCTGGAGCCTGCCGTCCGCTCCAGCGAGCTGTGATCCCAGGGACGTTTCCCCTCTGCAGCTGCGGACAGCGTCAGGGGCAGAGGGGGCACAGACCTTTCCCCAGAGCACCCCAAGGACACTGTGATCAACCCGAGAATGTTCTGGGTTCAACTCAAGCATCTCCCTTGCACCTCCAGGGTCCTGCGTGGACCCTGGGTTCCATCCCACCTGCTACACGCTCACCAGGTCTCCGTTGAGGAAGAACAGGAACGCCGGTTCCCCCACCAGCTTTTGCTGCTCCCCTTCCTGCTGGGGTTCCCTGTTTTCGAGCCATGGGAGGCAGACTGCTCACGCCTCCTCACTCTCCGTCTGTCCCTCACCCACACCAAGGCCTCCGTCTCACTGTAAATAAGTCTCTGTGTTCTGTAAATAGATGTACAGAAGCCATGTTATTTCTTTCATATAATAAACTTTTATGACTCTTTATTCTGTCTCTCGGGCTCCTGGGGTAGAAGGAAGCACCTTTTCTCAGGTGAAAGGTAGAACATTCAACAAATGTTGTGAGTGAGTGGTGAGTATCTGGGGCCAGTGGCATGGGAGTAAGAAGAATTTACCAAGACAGTTGTAGGTAAAGAAAGGCAGATTTATTAGAGAAAGCATGAAAATGCATTGCAAGGTAGCGATGGGCAGGTCAGCAGAAGAGGAGCTGACTGCGAAGAGACAAAGCCTTGCTGTGAGTTTTTATGGGATGGTGTTTCCGCTGTGTGCTCAACAGGGCTTTCCGCAGTACTGATAACACCAAGGTTGCAGTGGGCTAACCTACAGGTGTCTGGTGAGAAGTTGGGCACAGGAGGGCTGTGTGACCTGAACCACCAAGAAGGCAGACGTCTGGCTGGGCGCGGTGGCTCACGCCTGTAATCCCAGCACTTTGGGAGGCCGAGGTGGGCGGATCACGAGGTCAGGATATCGAGACCATCCTGGCTAACATGGTGAAACCTCATCTCTACTAAAAATACAAAAAATTAGCTGGGCGTGGTGGCGGACGCCTGTAGTCCCGGCTACTTGGGAGGCTGAGGCAGAAGAATGGCATGAACCCAGGAGATGCAGCTGACAGTGAGCTAAGATCGCATTACTGCACTCCAGCCCTGGTGACAGAGCGAGACTCTGTCTCAAAAAAAAAAAAAAAAAAAAGGCCGACTTTGAGCTTATCTGCTTTCTCTTTTTGCTTTCCCCTGGTCCTATCAGCATGACTCATTTTCCCTAATCAGGACTTCACAACAAATACTTCTTCAGCACCTGCAGCAGTCCAGATTGTGCCAGGAGCCAGGGTTACAGCAAGTATGAAAACCCAGTCCTTGCTCTCTGGGAGCTCACAAACCAGTGGGAGAGATAAACAGCTAATTCCAACCCAGTGCTCCTACCGCCTGCCCTGCCCCGGGATGCCATGGCAACAGTTCCCACAAATGCACAACCAAAAATCCGAGGAACTGGGGTGGAAGGGCTTATTGAAATCTATGATCCCAACTCCCCTCTGGAAGACTGATACCTGAAAGGAGAAGGGACTTTTCCCGGGTCACAGCAGCAGAGCGGGAAAGGCTCCACCTGGCTTCCCGGACCCAGACTTCTCTCCTTTTTTCTCCTTGATAGTGGAAACTACTCATTTTCTTTTTCTTTTCTTTTTTCTTTCTTTCTCTCTTTCTTTTCTCTCCTTCCTTCCTTCCTTCCTTCCTCCTTTCCTTCCCTTTTTGTTTTTTTCTTTTTCTTTCTGAGACGGAGTTTCACTTATGTCACTGTAACCTCCGCCTCCCTGGTTAAAGTGATTCTCCCACCTCAGCCTCCAGAGTAGCCAGGATTACAGGCGCCTGCTACCACACCCGGCTAATTTTTGTATTTTTAGTAGAGACGGGGTTTCGCCATGTTGATTCGTCCGCCTCGGCCTCCCAAAGTGCTGGGATTATAGGCATGAGCCACCGCATCCGCCGCAACTACTTCTTTCGTTTCAGGCTTTGATATTTGGCCCCCGAAGCCTTGGGGGGTGTGTGTGTGTGTGTGTGACTATGTGTTGAGGTTGGTAGGGACAGGGTCTTTGAGGTGGGCCATGAAGGCTGTTGTCTTGGTTCCCTTACTCCAGTGGGAGGGGGAGGTGGGCAACAGGGATCAAAACGAATCCAGGCCAAGCTGGAGGCCTGGGAATCCTGTGCGCTGAACCTCAAACGTCTGGAGTCCTTTGCCTTCTGAATCTTTTGACCAAGAGAGGCTGATAACATGCAACCGCGCACTAGGGCTCTGGCAGCAGCCAGACTTGGGTTTAGTTCTATTGTTTACCAGCTGTGTGACATTGAATAAAAGGCTTAACCTCTTCGGTCCCAAATGCCTCCTTATTAACATGGGGACAACAACAAAACCTATCTCCTAGAACTGATGCCAAGCATTTGGCCACAGTTGCTGCTAGGTGAGGGACAGTCCTGTTTCATACACAACGGAATGTTGATAATCATTTATTGATCACTTTCAGAGCCAAACAATTTGTGTGCCTTTATCTCATTGAAACACCACCATTTCTCTGGATAGCAGATACTATTACCATATTATAAGTTATATAGACATTTAGCACTAATGGCACAGAGTAAGTGCTCACCAAAAACTGTTAGCAAGGGCACTTTTGTCACATAAAAGAAAAAAGGAGCATGGGAAAGGCGCTTTGCAAGGTGTAAGGTTCCGCACAAGTTTTTGCTGTAATTGTTACGTCGCCCTTTGTGGTCATAATCCTTTATTTATTCTTTCTGAGTTACTACGATGGTCCCCTAGTTACCGTGGCCATGGAAACGCGGCCCGCCGTCCCGGATTGGACGGTTCGCGGGTTCCCCCTGGAGGCCACCTTCTGGTCCTGCTGCGGAAAGACGGGGCCTGCCTTGGAGACGGGGAGAGGGGTGTCGGGAGTTGTAGGCGATGGGCGTGGCTGCTGCGGAGCGCTGCACGCCGGGAGTTGCAGTTCCCGGGCGTGGCAGTTGGCTGCTCCACACAGAGCTCGGGCCTCACCCGGATGGCGGCTGTGACGCGCAGCTGCCGGCCCTGGGGCTCGCTCCTCGGGCTGTTCGGGCTGGTCTCGGCCGCGGCCGCCGCCTGGGACCTGGCTTCCCTGCGCTGCAACTTGGGCGCCTTTTGCGAATGCGACTTCCGGCCCGACTTGCCGGGTGAGGCGCCAGGGAGCCCGGAGCGAGGGGCGGGCGGACGCGGGCGGACGCGGGCGCGCTGGGAGCCCGGCTGGCCCCGGCCAGAGCCGCTGAGGACTCAGAGGGTGGGACCGGGGGGCGGGGCCGGCAGACTTGCGAGGGTGGAGGGTACCCGTTGAGGTCCAGGAGGCCCTGCCAACCTGGAGAGAGGCCTCAGCCAGCAGAGCCCTTTGGGGGAGATCTTGGGCCTCCCCGGAATGGCCTGGCCGTCAAGGGAGAAGAGCACCTTGGGGATGGCCGGGGCTGGGGCTGACCTCGTTGACAGCTCGCGTTTAGGGTTGAGTGCAATCTAGATGACTGCCTGGTGGGGGCGCTGCCGAGCTGAATCAGGCCCGAAGGTGGCTCTTTTCCGCCACAGACCCCAAGGTCCCCGTGCCATGTGCATAGACAGCTTGGACAAACGTAAGGACACAGGAGTCCAGACATGACGTTCCAGACCAGGTTCTAGACATGACGTTCCCCTTGAACCTCTGCCTTGGTGGGATGTGTCCTCACCATCCTCCTGTGGCCCTAGGTCTGGAGTGTGACCTGGCTCAGCACCTGGCCGGCCAGCATCTGGCCAAGGCGCTGGTGGTGAAGGCGCTGAAGGCCTTTGTGCGCGACCCTGCCCCCACCAAGCCGCTGGTCCTCTCCCTGCACGGCTGGACCGGCACCGGCAAATCCTATGTCAGCTCCCTGCTGGCGCACTACCTCTTCCAGGGCGGCCTCCGCAGCCCACGCGTGCACCACTTTTCTCCCGTCATCCACTTCCCCCACCCCAGCCACATCGAGCGGTACAAGGTAGGCTGGATGCGTCCTTGACCACTGTTCTCCTCACCATGGGGTGCCACCCTAGGGAGTAAGTCCTGAGCCCAGACAGGGGAGTCACCTGTTCCAGGCCACACAGCCGGCTGCAGCCCCAGCCCTCAGGACCCATCCTGCACAGAACTTGGGAAGGTGCCATTCTACCTGGCAGGGAGTACTTTGATTCCTTGGGGCAGTAAGGAACCTGGCAGTACCTACCTGCCAGGGTTGTTGTGAGGGACATGAGATTATATCATTGCAGATATTATTTATGGAGCACCTATGTTTGTCAGATATACTGCACTGTTGTCTTGCTGGAAATCAGCCCCAATTTGTGGCTCAGAGTAAGCATCGGGAAATACTGGCTGTTAACTACTGCTGTTGTTGATTGCAAGGTACCCTCCAGGCTGATCAGTTTCAGCTGTCAACACTGCTGTGTAGTTTCAGGGAGCGGGAAGGAGCCTTCCTCTTTTATAGAAAGCAGCAGGTGTCGTGCAAGGAGCCCTGAACAGGGAAGTGGGAGGCTTGGGTTTGAGTCCCTGTTCTGCTGCTGACCGGCTGTGTGGCTTTGGGCAAGTCTCTGCCCCTCTCTGGGATACAGTTTCACCATCAGTCTCACTAAGAGGTTGGTGCTCTCTGGGAGACCACATCTTCCTAGAAAGGAGGTTAGTTTTTGGTTTGGGAAGAGGTCTGGGGTTGGGGGAGTTTCTCCAGCCCCCCCTGGAACTCCTGTCTCTCCCCTACAGAAGGATCTTAAGAGCTGGGTCCAAGGGAACCTCACTGCCTGTGGCCGCTCCCTCTTCCTCTTCGATGAGATGGACAAGATGCCCCCAGGCCTGATGGAAGTCCTGCGGCCTTTCCTGGGCTCCTCCTGGGTTGTATATGGGACCAACTATCGCAAAGCCATCTTCATCTTCATCAGGTGGGGCGCGGCTTTGCAGCGGGCACGGTGGGGGGCCACTTCGCAGAGGTTCAGCTCTACAGCTCTTGGCCTGTGCTCCCAGCAGAATCCAATTCCCCGTGGGCTTAGCTGGGCTTTCCCAGTGCCCCCCACCCTCTCAGAGATGACACTGTCATTCCGCCTGGTTGATTCCCTTTGGACACTCTCAGCCCGTTCTGGGCTCAGTCTTTTTGATCACCACTTCCTTGTGGAAGCCCTGCCAGGTCGAGAAGTTTTCCCTCTTTTGTGGTGAGGAGGACACAGGCCTGGGGAAAACAGGAACAGAGTTCTTGTCCTTTAGTCCCAGCTCTCAGAATCCTTGCTGTGTTTGCTCAGGCAGCATGGCTCCGCCTCTCTGAGCCTCTGTCTCTGCTTCTGAACAGCGGGGCCAATAATGATACCCCGATATCTTCCTGGAAGTTTAGTGAGGGAAAGTCAGTTGAGGGACCCAAAAGCGTTTTGTAAACTGTAAAGTACATGGCATGTGTAGGTGAATTGCAGGGGCCGTGGATATGGACACCATGGAGGGGGAAGTGGAGCGTTTTCAGTGGGGTTGGCTCCTCAACCTGCACCGGGCTGTGCTCCTGTCAGGTGGCAGCGGGGGGGCGAGGGTCCAATCCTGCCCTGCGCTAGTCCTCGTCTGAGTCTCAGCCTGGGTCCCCCATGGTTTTAGCAACACGGGTGGCGAGCAGATCAACCAGGTGGCACTGGAGGCATGGCGCAGCCGCCGGGACCGCGAGGAGATCCTCCTGCAGGAGCTGGAGCCAGTCATCTCCCGCGCCGTGCTGGATAACCCACACCGTGAGTCTGGCTCAGCAGCCCTCCCCGGGCGGCTTCACCCCACACCCAGGGGCCAGGCTTTCCCGGGGTCTCATGCTTTGCCCACTGACCTGCTAGTTCTGAGCCTGGCTTTGGCACTCCCAGCTCTGTGACCTTGGGTCAGCCTTACAGGCCCTGAGTCCTACACCCAGAAGGCGGCTGAGGGGACTGAGGCCAGCATCTTCCGTCCTGCCCCTGGGGGTTGGGGGCTAGCTTCTCCCCTCTTGTGAAGCACAAGGCCCCCTCCCCACCTGCCCTTCCTGCAGATGGCTTCTCACACTCGGGCATCATGGAAGAGCGCCTCCTAGACGCAGTGGTGCCCTTCCTCCCACTGCAGCGGCACCACGTCCGGCACTGCGTGCTCAACGAGCTGGCCCAGCTGGGCCTGGAGCCGAGGGATGAGGTTGTCCAGGCTGTGCTGGACAGCACCACCTTCTTCCCTGAGGACGAGCAGCTCTTCTCCTCCAATGGCTGCAAGACCGTGGCCTCCCGAATCTCCTTCTTTCTCTGACTCCCCGGGTGGTATCCTTGGCCCCTCTAATGGCCAGGCCATGCAGGAAAGGCCTGGGGCCTCTGTCACAGGAACCCAGCGCACCAAGTGAGATGAAGGGAGTGGCGGCTGGGCCACGGGACAGATGGCTGGGAAGGGCCCTGGCCTCTAACCTGGCTCAAGAGCATCTTGGCCCTGGCCACCTTCCCCAGGGAAACCCCTGGTCACCCCAGAACCTCACTGAGCCTTGACCTCCCCCTGCAGCCTGAGCCTTCTTACTGTGAATTATAACTCAGGGACTGTGGCTCGTGGCGGCGCTCCCTCCTCAGTCTGCCACCCTTGCCCCTTGCCTCCTTGGTCGGGCACCATGCCCCCTCCCCTCCACCCCACACCCTGTGTCCGTTTCATCAAGCCAGGTGGAGCCTTCTCGGTTTCTATAAATGGAGGGACTCAAGCTGCCACTTGGGCCTGGTTTTAGAAGTTTTTAATTTTGTAAAAGAAGAGAACAAGTATAATAAACTCAGCTATGGGACCAGAGGACTGTTTGCTAAGACTTTTAATTGCTCTGGAAGGAGGCAGCTGGCTCAGTGCCAGTGCTGGGGGGTGAGTAGAACTGCTCCCCTCCCCAGCAAGAAGCGAGGGGCTAGATGGTCCCTTCAGAGAGCTTCATAGTAGGTGAGGTCCTGACCAACCTCAGTTTTGCTGACACTCGGGCTGAGTCCCCAGGTGGACTCAGCCTTGCTGGAAGTTGAGCTCATGCCCCGGCTCTTGCCCTGGGCAGCCTCAGCCTTGCTGGTTCTCTGGCCCTGGCCTTGAACATCCTCAGTCTTGCTGAGGCTCCAGTTTGAGTCATAGAAAGCCTCAGTCTTGGTGGAACTTCGGAGCAGTCCCCTGCTTCGGCCCTGGGTGGCATCAAGCTTGCTGGGTCTCCAGCTCCGGCCACGAGCAGCCTTGACCTTTCGGGGCCTCTGCCTTGGGCTCCGGGTGGTCTCGGTCTTGCTGGGCTCCTGCCTTGGGCCCTGGGTGGTCTCGGTCTCGCTGGAGCTCTGCCTCTGGCCCTGGGTGGCCTCGGTCTTGCTGGAGTTCCTCCTGTGTACGGTGGCCTGGGTCTTGCTGAAGTTCTGCCTCTGGCTGTGGGTGGCCTGGGTCTTGCTGGAGTTCCTCCTGTGTACGGTGGCCTGGGTCTTGCTGAAGTTCTGCCTCTGGCTGTGGGTGGCCTGGGTCTTGCTAAGGCTCTGCCTCTGGCTGTGGGTGGCCTGGGTCTTGCTAAGGCTCTGCCTCTGGCTGTGGGTGGCCTCGGTCTTGCTGGAGTTCTGCCTCTGGCTGTGGGTGGCCTCGGTCTTGCTGGAGTTCTGCCTCTGGCTGTGGGTGGCCTGGGTCTTGCTAAGGCTCTGCCTCTGGCTGTGGGTGGCCTGGGTCTTGCTAAGGCTCTGCCTCTGGCCCTGGGTGGCCTGGGTCTTGCTAAGGCTCTGCCTCTGGCCCTGGATGTCCTTGATGTTTCTGGGACCATGGCTCAATGCCTCCCTGTGGCTCCCAGAGTCTGAGGATTGCGTCTTCAGCAGTGATGAGTCAGAGAATGTCATGGCGGTGGCTGAGGTGCTCCTGTATTCCTGGCAGATAGCCGACGTCTCAGTCTCTGAGGTGCATGTGGTCCTGACTGGGAAGGGTGTGCCAAGAGCACCCATCAGGCCTGCCGCACCTGCCCTGGACAGCTCCGGGAAAAGGGGCTTCCCAATTTCATACTGGCCTGTGGCCCTGAGGCTTCACATTGCCAAAGGGAAAGACCTGCACATCACCCCCGCCCAGCCCCCCAGCGCCCCAGACCCTGAGGGGTGGGGCTGTGAGATGGGGGAGATGCCTAAGAGCCCCCTTCTCCCAGTCCCAGGCCTCTGCTCTCTGGCTGCCCCTGCCCTCTGCTCCTGTTGCAGCAGACAGCCCCAGCAGGGCCCCTGCATCCCCCTGCCTGGCACCCTCCTGCCCTTCCATCCTTGTCCCCACTAAAAGGCGCTAAATGCACCCACAGCCCCAGCTTCCCCTGCACTGTGTCTGCCCTGTCTCCTGGCTGTCGGGTCACCTGGGAGCCTTCTTCCTGTTGGAGCTTAGAGCTCATGTCCCAGGGCAAGGACTATGCCAGTCATCCCTGTGCCCAGTGTTGAGCACAGGCCTGGCCCAGGGCACTCGGTGGGTTTGCTGGATGCACGAAATGAAGAAGGGGCCTGGGCCCTGCCACTCCCCTCCCCACCGAGGACTGCGCACACCCGCCCTGGGGCCTCTGAGGAGCAGCCTCCCCGCTCTTCACTTCTGTCTCCTCCAGGCTGGGGCCCCACGGAACTGGGACTAAAAGCCTCCTGGCCATGCACAAGGTTTGTGGGCTTTTTTCAGGGACAGGGCTGGGAGGGGATGAGAGCAGAGTAGCAGCTATCATGAAGGGCCTGGAGCAAGCCTCGGCCTCCCTGCCGGTGTTGGGCACTGCCCGCTGAGTCCTCGGCAGGCCCAGCAAGAGTGTTACTCCCGCTGTAGAGCCACTCGCCCCAGGCCACCCAGCTGTCAGCAGCAGGGCCAAACTCACACCTAGGCCAGCGTTCTTCGACCCCTGACCTTTGACCACCCTGCTGCCTTAGCTTCCTGAGGCCTGGCGGGAGCCCCAGGGACTTACAGCTCATGCTGGAGGCTAAAGAGGTCTGGTCGAGGTAGCTCTCAGACAGGGACGCCACCTTGCTAGGTGTGAGCTTTGGTTTCCTCTCCTATGGCAAGAAACAGGCTTTGTAGTTCAGATGGCAGGAGGCCCATGCAGCTGCGCCTCTAGAAGGCCAGGAGCCCTGGGCCGCTCGGTGGTCATTCTCCTGAGCTCGGAGGTCCTTGAAGGTGCCAGGTTAGGGTGGGGTGGGGACACACAGAGGCTAAGCCTGGCAGGAACGGGGCGGCCAGGCTGGACAGGCATATGGTGCCATGAGGACGGTTGTGTTGAAGGGGCTGCTAGCGCCTTGGCTTTTTCAACTGCAAAATGAAAATTAGTTCAGGCGTGGGACAGGCTTCTGTAAATTATAAAGGGCTGTGCCCTGGGGAATGCTTATGGAGGACTTGAGGAGCTTCTCCAGGCTTTAACCCCTTCCATTCTCCCAATACAAGTGGGGACGGAGGGATGGGGAGAGCTGCTAATGACCATTTCACCGACCAGGAAACTAAGGCTCAGAGCCCATAAGCAACCTGCCCAGGGCCACTCAGCCAAGGAGCAGAGAGGCCGAGTTTGAATCCAGGTCTGCTGGCCACCACAGCCAGACCCTACCTAGGCTGCAGGTCTCTGCCCACATTCACAGCTGCAGACAGCGCGGTGCACCATAGTGCTCCAGGCGCCAGCTGGGAGTTGTGCTCTGGGCTCCATCCACTTCAGCCCAACATCTCCCTGGGGGAGGGAGCCTCTGACTTCGGGGGGCACACAGAGGGAAAGTGTGTACTTTAATATTCATTCTAACATGAGCTAGAAAACTGAAGAGCTGCTGGGCGCGATGGCTCACGCCTGTAATCCCAGCACTTTGGGAGGCCGAGGCGGGTGGATCACGAGGTCAGGAGATCAAGACCATCTGGCTAATGCGGTGAAACCCTATCTCTACTAAAAATACAAAAAATTAGCTGGGCGTGGTGGCGGGTACCTGTAGTCCCAGCTACTTGGGAGGCTTGGGCAGGAGAATGGTGTGAACGTGGGAGGTGGAGCTTGCAGTGAGCCAAGATTGCACCACTGCACTCCAGCCTGTGAGACAGAGTGAGACTCTGTCTCGAGAAAAAAAAAAAAAAAGAGAAAACTGAAGAGCTAGCGTTTTCTTTCCTCTTTTCTTTTCTTCTTTAAACAAGGTCTTGCTCTCTCACCTAGGCTGGAATGCAGTGCTATGATTACGGCTCACCGCAGCCTCAAGTGACTCTGGGGCTCAAGAGATCCTCTTGCCTCAGCCTCCCAAGTAGCTGGGACTATAGGCACACATCACCATGCCTGGCTAATTTTTGGATTTTCTTGTAGAGACAGGGTTTTGCCATGTTGCCCAGGCTAGTCTTGAACTCCTGGGCTCAAGCGATCTGTCCATCTTGGCCGCCCAAAGTGCTGGGATTACAGGCATGAGCCACCGCGCCCGGCCACATTTTCTATTGATGGCAAGGGATGCTGGTATTCCTGTACTTCAATTGTGGAAAGTTTCCTTTGAACATTAGTGTACTTGATGTCTACCAGCAGTAGAACAGAGAGACACGCTGTGGGATTGTCAAGGACGGAATATTCTGCAACACCAGAGACAGGGAGCAGGCTGCTGCCACCTGCTGCAGCGTGAGTGACGCTCACCATGCTGTCCATTTATGTGACGAAAAGACAAAAACTCATGTTTGGCATTAGGAATCAGGACAGCCTTGTAGGTAGGGTGGGCTACGGCAGGGGCCTCGAAGGGGGCCCCAGTGGGCTTCTGGGAGCTGGGAAAGTGTTCTTTCTCGATCTGGATAATGATATCATGGGTGTCATGCAGTTGTGAAAATTCATCAAACTGGCACTTATGATTTGTGCACTTTCCTGTATTTATGTTACATTCAATAAGAGGTTTTCAGAAACAAATTTAAGAATTAAGAAAATTCTGGGGGCCGGGCGCAGTGGCTCATGCCTGTAATCCCAGCACTTTGGGAGGCCCAGGCGTGCAGATCGCTTAAGTCTGATAAAAATACTAAAAATACAAAAAACTAGCCAGGTGTGGTGGCACACACCTGTAATCCCAGCTACCTGGGAGGCTAAGGCATGAGAATTGCTTGAACCCAGGAGGCGGAGGTTGCAGTGAGCCGAGATCATGCCACTCTACTCCAGCCTGGGTGATAGAGCAAGACTCCGTCTCAAAAACAAAAAATTCTGGCACAAGTGGCAAATGGCTAGTGCATACAGTAGAACTCGTGACAGTGACCATGAGCAGGGGTGTGACTCCTCTCTGTGAGGGCCCACATCCCCACACACCCTCCCTCAGGAGCACCCCTTGCTTGTACCATCCCCATCTCATAGCAAGATGTCCCCAGTCCATCACACAACTGAGGGAGTGCAGAGCCAGGCCTGGAAGCCAGACTCCACTGGCCTGCGTCCTTCAGCCCTGGACTGGGGTACGCTCTGCCCCAGACCCCAAGGGCTTCGGGCCCTGGCGTGTGCTCCACTTACCTCTTTTTTCTCCTTCTCCTTCTCTTCCTCTTCCTCTTTCTCTTCCTCCTCCTCCTTCTCTTCCTCCTCCTTGGGGGCCTCAGCCTGTCCCTCTGAGCTTCCCGGTTCTACCTGCGGAATCTCAGGGGTGGCCTGCAGCTTCTCGGAGGTCTCAATCAAAGGCTCCTCCTGCTTCCATGAGCGCTGCAGGGCCAAGGCCTTCTGGCGCTCCAACTCCCACTGCTTAAGCATCCTGCCAAACAAGCCCCCCGGGCATTGTCAGTCTCCCTGGCCCATGCTGGTCTCTCCAGGGACTAGACAATGGCCCTGGCGTGCAGCTGGAGCCAGAGGAGCCTAGAGCCGCAGCCATTCCCCAGCCCTGGCCTGTGCCCCCTGCTCCAGGGCTTACCCCACAATGCCTTGTGGGCCTCCAGCCTGCAGGCTGCCCTCCACCATCCGTTCCAGCTGCAGCCTGGCCAGGTGGGCTATCTGGGTGCTAAGCACCTCCTCCACAGACATGCCCGGGAAGAGGTTGGTCATCAGCAGGGACAGCTGCCATGAAAGGGGGTGACCAGAGCCAGGTGAGGGCCAGAGCAGCGGGCACACAGCGTGATGCTGCCCTGATCCCGCACAGCCAGATTTGGCCCTTCCCAAGACTGAAGAAGGAAGAGTTTTGCAATGTTTTTTGTTTGCTTGTTTGTTTTGTTTTGTTTTTTGAGACAGAGTCTCTATCGCCCAGGCTGGAGTGCTGTGGCACAATCTTGGCTCACTGCTACCTCTGCCTCCCTGCAACCTCTGCCTCCTGAGTTGAAGCAATTCTCATGACTCAGCCTCCTGAGTAGCTGTAATTACAACCGTGCACCACCACGCCTGGCTAATTTTTGTATTCTTAGTAGAGATGGGGTTTCACCATGATGGCTGGGCGGGTCTCAAACTCCTGACCTCAGGTGATCCACCTGCCTCTGGCTCCCAAAGTGCTGGGATTACAGGCGTGAGCCACCATGCCTGGCCTTATGATTGTTATCAAACCAGATTTCTTTGGGGGCCAAGGAGTATCTTTATGCACCAGGCATGACTCCCGAGCCTACACCCCTGACGTGGCAGGAACCTACCTTTGGTTGCTTGGGGTTGAGGAGCAGGACAGTGGCCACATCCTGGCGTGCCCCAAAAATGTTCTGCAGCAGCTGCCGGCTCTTGGCCCGGTACAGGTAGTACTGGGCCTTCTGGGGGTTGTGCCGGATGGCCGTGGAGAAGTGGTCCTCTGCCTTCTGGAACTGCCTGCAGGACACAGTGGATTCCGAGCTGCCATGAGCTCGGCCATCTGTGGGGAAAAGGGTGGCTTCTGGGCCCCACTGAGGAGTTAGACGGAAACCAGGCTGGGTCTGCTCCCCCCACCACGCCCCTCTCCTCTCTCTCCACCAGCGACGTCCCTGAGGGAGCCAACACTTAGATGCCAGTGTGAAACTCCACCATCAGTGAATATTTTTATGATCTTGGGGTAGGGAAGGCCTTTCTGAGAATGCCATAAACCCATCAGCTAAAATGAAAATATTAATTTGACTATGATTAAGTTCCAAGTTATTGAGTAGTAAAAGTATTAAAAAGAAAACCAGCATAGGGAGGGCGCGGTGGCTCACGCCTTTAATCCCAGCACTTTGGGAGGCAGATCACCTGAGGTGGGGAGTTTGAGACCGGAAGAAGCCCAATCTAGGTCCGGAGCGGGGTTGAGTTGCACCCCCAACTCCCCAGTGCCTGGAGGCCACAGCCCCAGTCG